AAAGTGTACTTAATCATTTCCACTTCCATCTTTCTGGCATTTTAATCAATTATGTGAATCTTATCGAAAAGAATGAATTTCTACACCTAATAATTTCACCGTTCAACTTTAATATTTTTCAATGTAAAAATTAATCAACCAAATGCCAAAACATCAAAATCAATTCGTCAGAAATGATATTACCACTTAACTTTTGTAATTTTAATTGCAACAACCAGCATAAATTAAACTTCATAGTAAAAAAGAACGGCAAAGAAAAATCGAACGTGTGCAAGAAACGATACCAGTTTATCGGATACGGTTATAATAGGGCGTGAAATCACGCCTCCACGCGTGTACTCTCCCTTTAATTACATGCGTGTATCTACGGTTGCAGCGATTTAAGTTTTACTTAAGACATCGTTATTCACGATGGTATGAGTTCACGGCAATTAAACATTTCGACCAGTCGATACATATTATCGTATTCCCTCTAGTCATGTGCGTTTAATTGGTCGAAAATGTTATCGCCTCCACATATTAGATTCTCAATACCAGTTACAAGCACAGAGAAACAATCGCGTGATGAAGATTGGAACAAATTGAATGATTGCACCTACATAAATTGATTTTCTGCATTATCGATTTGACAGGAATTCTTTTTTTTTCCTCTTCATTCAAAGAAGAATTTGTAGATTATTGGAAGTTACGTATTATATAGGATGTCATGTAACCGGCGATACAACCGGAAAGGTGGTGATTCTACGTGACAAAATAAGTTAAAAATGTAGAATAAAATTTTTCCATATAAAGCTTCTTTCTCAAGCAAATCGACTTTAAATATTTGCCTGGTGCATGTGCACTTATCAACCATGTCTCGATTTGAATTCTTCATGATTTTTACATGCATCTAAAGTTACTTTATGTGCATTCTACAAAAATAAATGTTTACATAATAAAACTAGTTTTTAGTATTTCATCACAATTTAAATTTGAGATTTTCTATAAATTTACATTAACTAATAAAACAACTTCATTTTTATCGATATCTATTTTCGGGTCCATGTCTTTAATATTGCATTCAATAAGATCCTTGTACTCTTTCAATACATTACAACTTCCGTTCATATTTGACTTCAATTCATTTATCAAAATTTTTCTTTGTTCTATAGTTCTGTCAGCTAATTCTTCATTCTATTAATAAAATAAAATAGAGCACATAGTAGATTAATATTTAAAAATTATTCATTGAAAATAACACCAAAATTGTGTTTTCTATTAAATTAAAAAATTACCCGTTTTGTTTCAAGAATTACATCAGTTTTAATTGTTTCAATGTTACTTTGTATCTGTTCTTCTAAAGTATGTTTCACTTTAACAGATGTAGTAGAATTATTTATCATGCAATCGTTAACATTATTGCAAATATTACTAACATAATCACATTTGCCAATTACAGTACAATAGTGTTCTTCCTCACTTTTGTTTAAGAGACTGAACTGGGAAAATACATCTCCCATCATCTAAAAAATAGTGGTTCAATAACTCTAAACTTATCATAAATAATGCGATAGTAAAACTATATTTTTTATACCTTTGTTACGGGTTACACTTTGTCCTCACACGGAGCAGAATGTCGGTTAGTTGATAGGAAATTGGAACATTCAACGCATGTGGTTACTACTTCGTTCTCCAGGGGATTGGAACTTTCAACGCATGTGGTTACTACGTCGTATTCCAAGGGTAGGAATGGACCGACTGGAACATTCAACGTGTGTTAACACGTCGTATTCCGAGGTTAGAAGGGAAATTGGAACATTCAACGTATGTGGTTACTACGTCGTTCTCCTGGGGAATTGGAACATTCAACACATGTGGTTACTACGTCGTATTCCAAGGGTAGAAGGATTTGAGGACCGGGCGTATCGTAATGTTCGATATACATCGAGCGGTAAAGGTATATACATTCGCAAAGATTCTCTCGAGCGAACAACATACACTCTCCAGCCGTTCGAGGAGACATCACGTATATATATTTCGAGTCGCAATCGAACACTCGAGTCATTTCAAACAAGTCGTCAATCGTTTCGTGACGCACTCTACGTTTTGCTAACGTTCCGAGCAAAACAAAATTTGAATTAGTTACCTAAGATTAATTTGGCGGGTAACAGTCGCGAACGCGAGCTTTTGGAACAATCACAAGAGAGCGCGACGTGACAAATATGGCGTTTGGCATCGAAACATCTCAATTGTGGCTTCACTACCGTCAAAGCCACCGGTTTTTTGGCTGTTGTCTTCAACGAAGGTTTCGTTTCAATATTGCACGTAATGCAGTCACTGGACATTGTTATTGGCCAGCATTGCAACATATTCGTGGATAATCACGACGCGTATTGTTGAAGTTTCCTAAAGAAACTGAGGGACTACTGTACGGGCCTGGTATAGCAGATTGAAACTAAACAATTATGAATTTTCAAGAATTGATAGTTATCTATACCGAAATCTTTAAACACATTTTTCTCGAAACCACTTTTTCCAAAGTGGCGTGCAACATAACTTAAAAAATATTTATCCGATTTCTTTCTACCTTTGCACACATTTATATAAACACCTCCTTCAGGACTGAACCACCAAAAATAATGAAATTGTTTAATTTATGCGTTTAATTGCACAATGAATTGAAAAAATTAATGCCAAAACCGAAACTTTTTTCAAACTGCCGCCATTTTGTCAATTTTGCAGTTTTTCCTTCGATCGAGGTTCTTTCCCTGTACAATTTCCTAGGGAACAGAACTTCTTTAATTTTTTTGTTTCAAATGAATAGAACAGTCGCTATGCTGCACGCTGCACAACTTTGAAAAAACACTGTCTGACAAATGTTTAAATAATTCCATGAATAAACTTTATTCTTGCTTGTTAATTGTTCTTTCTTTAATTCATAAGTATAAGAAACTATTCTCACAATTTAAAAAGAATCCACTGCATAGTTGCCGAAGGAAACATTAACAAACTTTCATGTGAATTTGCGTTGATCGAATTCGGAAACAAGGTCATATCGGGCATATGTTCATTGAACCTTTTTTCTTATTTTAGCGTACTGAATCTATCCCCGAAGTTATGCCTACATTTTCGGAAACACCCTGTATATTTCCAATTAGTTAAAAAATAAAATAATTGTTTTCATTGTATATAAGTATACAGTTTGTTATTGACAATTCTTTTTATTACAATATCAATACATATTTTGGAACAATTTTCAAAATTTAATTGATTTATCAAATTGTTGAATGATACAAGCAATTTATTATCGTATCTTATTAAAATAAGAACTGGGAAGTTTCCTCCTACTAAAAACTTTAACAATGTAAAATAGTATATTAAAGACTATTATGTTTACAAATCGAAAATGTTACAACATTAACATCTGCTATTAAAATAATTCCATTATACAGTAGAATTCCGATTATCAGACATATTCCTACGAATCCGACTGCACCTATGAAGTGATAATAACGAAGAAAATAATTTAGAAAACAACCATGGATACAAGTTACGATTAAGCCTACATTAAGTCTACATTATATGCATATACACAATACACACATTGTGAAACACATAAATTCCTTCACTTTGTTCATCTATGGTATCGATATCACTGCTGGATGCATGTGGCCGTGACGGTTACCGAAGAATAGTCGGTGCAAATGTACCGATTAATCGAGCATTCTGGATAATTGGATGCCGAATAATCGGAACTTCACTGTACATCAAATATAATACAACTATAATAATTTTTCTATCCACAACTTTGACAATATTTCTTCTTTTTCACTTTGAAATAATAGGAAATATTTTGTACAATGTAACATTATGTTTAATTGACATTTAACTCTACACTTTGATATTTCAAATTCTAAAATGAAATTATAATACATAATAGATAGTAGCTGTATAGTATGTATATACACCATTCTTAGTCTAAGAGAACAGTACATTTAAACAGTATTTATATTACATAGAAGTATTTAAATAGTAGTTATATAATTAAAGTGACTGCATAATGAAAAGCTAATATATATAACACTTTAGTTGCTGTTCTCTTAGTTAACAATTTCACTTATATAAAAGATATAATGCTACATGAATGTGCATAGTACTAAAATTCTTGCAATATGCAATGATAGATTAAATAATTTATTTTAAAACATTTTTTTTATATATAAATAC